ACAAAATATGATCATTTTGTCACTTTCATCTATTCATCATGGATACAAAAGTTGATTGATTAGTTAGAAAGACTTCAATTTTCGAGCGGAAAAATTATTCGAAACTGATTGCAATAAAAGAAAATTCCCACATGTGGCAGATTGGAATGAAAGCGAATCCATTGAACTGGTTGACTTACCGATGGATAAGAGCACATTATATGCGATCCAGCAGCTTCACCACTGCAATCGTAAGTTGAAGAACAGTAAATACTGCCATCAACGGCCTGAAACCAATTTAAAGGTGTTAGAAATCCGTTTTAAATGAGAAAAGAGATGAGATTCGGATAAAATCCGAGGAACCATTACCGTTTGTGCAACTGCTACAGAAGTCACTGTGAGTACACCTAGATATGGATAAAAGAAAAAGAGAACACAATTTCATCTCTGTTATCGATTGGCACGCATAACACAAGAGATCAACTTATGAGTTCTTTTTCTATAAATAAGACTGAAAAAGCTTAAAGCAAAAAAAGACACAGCTAATGTTACGAGTGAACCAACTCAGCATTGAATGGAAAAAACATTTTTCTGCATTTTTCTCGTTACTGTAAAAAGATAACGATTAGATGCCTTGGGCATTATTGTAGACTATCGAAAAAACTTCAAATATGCCGAAGATACCACTATCTCTTCCCTAGCAACGAGAAAAATGCAAACAATTTATTTCCTCTCGATGCTGAGTTGTGTCACTTTTGCTCGCAACATTATTTGTATCTTTTTAGCACAAAGTTTTATCCGTCTCAGTTATTGATTCGGTTTTTATAAGTTTATCTCTAGTTTTTACCGTGTGTTACATGTTTTATTTATATTCTTTTATTAGTATTACCCAGCAGCTCAAAAATTCGTTTCAACACCATTTTTATCAGAATTCACACGACTCACTGAATAAATCTCGTAACGATATTCTGCCTTTTATAGCTAAAATTCTGCAAATACTAGTAGATGCTCACTATATTATTTATTCAATCAGAAATTTCCATTTATCATCTTTTGCAACTAAAGATGTTACACGTGCTTTATGAACTAACCGTTTCCATTTGATACATCAAATATTTATTGAACCAATTGACAACCAAACAGATTTTTTTAGGTCTAGAATGTGCTGTAATACAAACTAATCTCAATGAAAAATCAACTTACAATTTCTAGACTCTATTTGTTGGATATCGCAAATAATCGCTCAATACAAAGACTATCAATATACAATTGTTCGAATATCGTAATATTGACTGGGTTTTAATTCGTTGATGATCATTGGGACCTAGGTGACCCTTTCATTTTTTGGACGATAATACTGATTTTATTGGAATATTGATAGAAATTCTTGATAATTATTAATGATACTGAAAATGGCGCAAAAATATTTCATCGTTTCTAGGCAAAATCTTGTTTGTTTTCAGTAGACCGCTTTGGAATATAGTTGAAAATTCTCGTTGTTCACTAATTCAATGGTTGTAGACAGGTTAAAATAGACTTGGTGTCCATTTTATAGGTCATTTAATTTTCGTATTTTGTATTTCACGGCTTTAAAGATTTCAACGGTCTAGTTTCAAACCATTCTTTTTTCTCGCAATAATTTGTTTGTATTGTACTACTTTACACGGTGGCAAACTCGACGGGTAATTACAATGAATGAATACAACTTTTTTTTTGTTTTTTTTTTTAATATATTTTCCATTGTTTTAAAACACAACTAGCGCAATTAAGTTGATATGTCAAACTATAGAACGTTTATGTATGAGTATTTTGGAGCGAAAATGTAATACAGAAAAGTTGCGCGGAAAAATGTCGATGATGAATGAGCGGAAAAGGTATAGCTATATAGTACACTATAGTGAACTATATAGCTATCTCTTTTCATTTGACATTTTTACGTGTAACTTTTCTATATTACATTTTCGCTCCAAACTACTCATATAAACCACTAACTCCATGTGATAATGGTATTGTCCAATACTTTGGGATCATTATTTAAAGAAAAAAGACCACAGTGCTGCGATATTCGAAAAAAAAATTCTATCCATTCCCGAATTAAGATTTTTTGGCGATATCAACGCAATACAGACACTCTAGTAAGGATTAAAGGGTCTGCATGAATGGCTATTTGATTACGTCATTTGATATTCTTGCGAACGTTTGTGAGTTTGAAATTTTCAACTATATGACCAGACGATCGCAAACGTCGTGTCAGTGGAGATCGTCATAGTTTTACATTGAAAATACTATTGTTATTGTTGATGCCATTGTCGCTTCATGCCTACGGGATTGAGCTATGACTCCAAGTCACCACGTCAGATTGTTGAGGAAAAATAATGAAGTTAGGGAATCGACAGACCATGCAAAAAATTAGATTCGAATTCGGGGATCATCATAAAAGAAGATCATTTCTTGTAAAAAAAAATCACCTTCAGACCAATTAAAATGTTGGAAAATATTAAAGAAGAATATTTATCTTACACTTTGGTCACACTTCGAGTGAGTCACTCTGTACATGTTTGCTGATCTCAATCTGTGCTGTTGGATTATTCAGATTTGAGAAAACACTATAAGTAATAATAAATAAATCACAGCTTTTTTCAAGTGATTTTTCAGAACAAACTTATAATAACAAGAGGTATGTATGTTTTTTTTCATAAGATTTTTGTCATAGATGTTCTATTTCCATGTTTCGTTATTGATAGGTATTTGGGTGAAACCGAATATGATTTCCCATTGTTAAGAATGAAGAAAGAAATCGAATTCATGCGTTTTTATGAATATTTAATAATCAAGTTGAGAGATAATGATAATAATTCATATTGTGAATTAATGTGCTTGGCTGAAATCAACAGAGATTTTGGTAAACAAAAGTGAAAACTGATGCTAATAAAAACCCTATACAAGTTCTATCATTTGCCGGTTTTCCTGAAAATGAAATGAATTGAAATTTGTTTGTACTATTCCATGCTATATCTTTGCCCGTTAGTCGGGTTCACTGGACTGATTGAACTGGAGAAAATATTTCCATTCATTCTCATGCTCTTTTCTTGAATTACCGCTTCGTATTTCGTGCTGGGAAGACTTGATACTTTATTCTCTTTACTCTGTTAGTCGAACAACCTGTCTTGCATTTCCTCTTATTTTTCTTTTGTTTCTTTTGCTTTTTCGATTTCGAATTCGATTTTAAATTCGATTTTGATTTCTTCGTCGTTTTGCATGACTGCTTGCAATTGCTCCCATTCTTGAAAATCAAAAGGTAACCTAAATTCTGTCCAGAACCAACAGTGCCGGAGCCACCCCCAGCTGTGCCCGAGTTACCAGCAGATGTGCTACTGCCACCTTGATTTCCACCAGCATTGCCTGAAGAATTGCGAATTTTAGTTAAATTTCTATCAGTAAAAAGTCCGCAAGTTTTGCGATCTTCAAATGTTCTATAAAATTTTCATTACCGCCTGAGCTGCTCGAAGCAGTGCTTGCAGCTGCTGAGGTGGTAGAGCTGCTTGCACCGGCCGTATTACTTGTGGAGCTTGTTGTTGCTGTTGCACCGGATGAACCACCAGCTGTACCAAAGAGAACGCGTCCATTGTTGAGGAATGTTGAAACAGCATCAGTTACAGTGTTATCGTTATTGAAGAACGAGACGCCACTGCTGCTGGTATAGCCGTAATAGTCTTCGCTTTGACTACAAAGGCCAGAGTATGTGGAGCTCTGTGTTTGGCATGCGCTACGAGTCGTACCAACGG